GAACCCGCCACCTTAGGTGTACGTGGCTGACGCCTTAGCTGGTTGAGCTATAGGCGCCGAGCCTCTTTAGTGAATTTTTCATTCATTTCATGCATTTTTGTGTGTGTGTGGTTTGTGTTGGGTTTCTAATTCTCTTATATTTCCTTGAGCTTCCTTATAATCCATGTTCAAAATTCTTTATCAGTCACTTCAGTGTCCTCATTTTGCTTGGTTTCCATTGGTATGGAGTTATTGTTTTCTTTTGGGAATGTCCTTTCTGATTTTTCATGTTTCTGAGTTCTTTCCCTGATTCCTGCTCATCCAGGGCACCTGATGCTTCTTCCTGTTTAGTACTGGTCAGCACCAGTTCAAACTGCTGGTCTTTATTGACAGCAACATAGAGGACTTGCACACTCATCTGGCACTTGCTGTTCAACAGTGCCAGAGATGAGGGACTTTACCTAACAAATGCAATCAATGTAACCTGGTTCTTTGTACCCTCAAAGAATCCTCATTAAAAAAAAAAAGAAGAAGAAGAAGAAGAACCACAGTGCCACAGATGCCAGAAGGCAGCCATCCTGAGGCTGGCATGGAAGGGGTCTTGATTAGGAGGTTGTGTGTCACTTCCTCTTCTTACAAGAGAACACTTGTTCTATAGGCTTATTTTATTTATTTATTTATTTATTTTGGAGACAGAGCCTCAAGCTGTCGCCCTGGGTAGAGTGCCGTGGTATCACAGCTCACAGCAACCTTCAACTCCTGAGCTCAAGCAAGTCTCCTGCCTCTGCCTCCCAAGTAGCTGGGACTACAGGTGGCCACCACAATGCCCAGCTATTTTTTTTTTTTTTTTTGGTTGCAGGCATCATTGCTGTTGGCGGGCCCGGGCTGGATTGGAACCCACCAGCTCAGGTGTATGTGGCTGGTGCCTTAGCAGCTTGAGCCACAGGCGCCGAGCCTATAGGATTATTTTAATTACTTCCTCAAAAGCTTAATCTTCAAATACAGTCACTATGGGCTAAGGCTTCAACATATGAATCTTGGAAAAACACCATTCAGTCTATATAGCACAGGTGAATCTATCAGAATTACCCCCGTGACAGCTCCTCAGGAAGAGTCACACGTAACCACCTTAAATCCAGTGCCACTTATACCCTACCCCACTTTCCTCCAACTTTATATTTTTTACTTTTCAACCAGACAGAGAAAACTCGATAGAGGCTGTCATTGAGTATCTCCGGAACGAAGAGAACCTAAAGAAGCTGCACCGCCTGCTGTCTAAAGATGAAGAGTGGGAGAAACTTGTGGCCGAGGGTGATTTGTCCAGGTAACTTCCATAGGGTTACCTCTGTGGAGTGCTTCAGAAATGCTACCCAGATTGCCCTGCTGGGTTGGTTTCCTCCTGGCTGGGACACCTCCCTCAGGCAACCTCCTGTGGCTGGGGCTGAGGACACTCACTTCCTTGACAATCCATGAGGAATGTTTGTTTCATTTGACTTACTGGCAGTGAATGACCTCAGAGTGAGGGGAGATGAGATTGTCAGCGGGCAGGAGAAACAACAGGAAAGCTGGGGCAACAGGGCTAGGGCTAGGGTGTGGCCAGTAGCTGCGAAGGACACAGACATACAGAGGTCATGGCTTTGCAGAGGACACGTGGGTGAGAGAAGGATATCTCTTCCCTTCCTGATCTGATAGGCATGGACGGCTATAGGCATGTCTATGCCTGGGAGCTGGGGAGTTCTTGGCTACCACTTGGGACCCACTTCTGTTCTTTGAGAGTAGTCCCTGAACAATAGGTAAGCAGTGTGGCTTACTGACAACTTCCAAAGTCAGGAAGGGCTGCCAATTTTGTATAATTCAAGGGGTTCTGAAGAGACAAGTCCCCATGGTAGAAAGAAATACTCCATTATCTTGTCTAAATTCAGGTCTTTTCAGGTAAATGACAGCAATTTGTAAAGATGATTTTTTTTTTTTTTTGAGACAGAGTCTTACGTTGTCACCCTTGGTACAGTGCCACGGAGTGATAGCTCACAGCAACCTCAAACTCTTGGGTTCAAGTGATCCTCTTGCCTCAGCCTCCCAAGTAGCTGGGACTACAGGCGCCCACCACAATGCCTGGCTATTCATTTGGGCTCTTGATCACATACAGCCCTCATGATAGTCCTTCCTGGAGGTCCAATGCCTTTAGTCCCCAGTTCCTCTGGAGGTCAGAAATGACGCCCTGTGGCTCAAAGTCACCATGATACATCATATTGTCATACTGTCCTATGGGCAAAGCTGCCAACAAACCAAGACTTTCCTACCAGGTAGAACATTCCAAGGACCTAGAGATCACTTCACAGCAAAATCTTCACTATCCTAGTGTTCTCTGAATAAAAGCTTTTTTTCTCTGTAATCTACACCTCTTTGTTCTCTGTGGAGTTTCCTCTCTACAAAGACTTGGGCAGTGATCGTGTTGCCCTGCTCTTGAGTGAGAAGGTACCTTGACCTACCACTGAAGAGTGTTTTGTGATGACTTTTACTTATTTATTCTTATGACCTACCACTGAAGAGTGTTTTGTGATGACTTTTACTTATTTATTTATTAAGTAACACAGAGCATCCGTGATATGCAAAACGTGTTTAATGTTGAAAGCAAAATTATTTACCTTTGTAGAATTAGTTTCCATTTAATTTATGGTAAAAGCTCTGTGATTTACACAGGATAGATCTTATGGAGCCCATTTTACAGATAAGCAAACTGCCTTTCTCACTCACCTGACCATTTTTGTTCCAGGGAAGAGGTGGATGAACTCCGAGAAGCTCTGAAGGAGCTTGCAACATATGTGTCCATGGAGGACCAAGAGATGGCCCAAGAAGACCAGCTGACCCAAGAAGACTGTATTCAAATACAGTCGTTTTTGAATGAGTTTCCTCAGATGAAAATGGAGCTTGAGGAGCGCATACAAAAGCTCTACGCTCTCGCAGATGAGGTTGACAAGGTTCACCAGGACTGCACCATCTCTGAGGTGGTGGCCAGCACCACCGGGGCTGTCTCTGGCATCCTGACCATCCTTGGCCTGTCTCTGGCACCTCTGACAGCAGGGGTGAGTCTGGCGCTCTCGGCCACTGGGATAGGGCTAGGAACAGCCGCTGCCGTGACCAGTGTCTCCACCAGCATTGTGGAATACTCAAGTGAGGTGTCGGCAAAAGCTAAAGCCAGCCAGCTGTTGGCAACCGATGTCAACATAGCAGATGTGGGGAAGGAGGCTGTGGGTCAGAACATACCCAAATTTGCTGACCTAACATGCAAGTGCTCCCAAGCTGTGAAAGTCATTGGGAAGAATGCCCGTGCCATCAAGTTGGTCAAAGCCAACCCACGCTTAGCAGCCAATGCCAAGCGTCACATGACCTCTGGGAAGATCTCAGCCCGAAGCAGTAAGCAGGTACAGAAAGCTTTTGGAGGCACCACTCTAGCAATGACCAAAAATGCCCGGATCCTGGGTGCAGCCACTGCAGCTGTCTCTCTTGTGATGGATGTGGCCAGCCTTGTGCAGAAGTCAATCCACTTGCATGAGGGAGCGAAGGCAAAGTTGGCTGCAGAGCTGAGGCAGGAGGCACAAACATTGGAGAAGGAGCTGGAGCAGCTCACCCAGAGATATGAGCATCTGCAGCGGGGCCTGGCCCAGTGACTCTCCAGGGCAGTGCAGATTGGGGTGAGGGTGGGGGTGGGGAGTGGACAAAGGCATGGACAAAATGGAGACACTTTATTAAAAGGAGAAAGAGGGTGAAATGGGAACTGGATTTTAAGGGTTTGGCATTTCTGGAGCTGAGCACTGCAAGGAAGGTGTTAACGCAGATGGCAACTGGGTCAAAAAGAAAGTGGAACGCTGGAGCCAGAATAAGGGGCAAGGGAGCCCAGGAGAACAGGGAAGGGGAAGAAGAAATCCATTTTGGACTAAAGAATACACTGTAGGATGAATAGAGAGGGAGGCCTGCAGGAATAAGCAATGAGAAAGCCCGAAAAACAAAAGAATTGAAAATGGGAGAAGGCCAAGAACTGCTGGAATAAGAAGAAACAGCAGCTCCACTACCAACCTTCTCTATGGTTTGATGTCCCTGTAAGAATGAGTCTTCCTGGCCAGGCATGGTGGCCTGTGCCTGTAACACTAACACTCTGGGAGGCCAAGGCAGGAGGATTGCTTAAGTTTAGGGGTTTGAGACCAGAGCAAGATCTCATTTCTATAATCAAAGAGAGAGAGCGAGAATGAGGAAGGAAGGAAGGAAAGGAAGGAGGAGAGGAGAGGAGAGGCGAGGCACAGCGAGGCTGGGTGCCCATAGCTCAGTGGTTAGGGTGCCAGCCACATGCTCCAGGGCTGGTGGGTTTGAACCTGGCCCAGGCCTGCTAAAGCAAAAAACAAACAAACAAAATAGCTGGGTGTTGTGGCAAGCACTTGTAGTCCCAGCTACATTGGCATGAGAATTGCTTGAACCCAAGAGTTTGAGGTTACTGTGAGCCATGTCATAGCTTTGTCACTCTACCAAGGGTGACAACGTGAGACTCTGAGAGAAAGAAAAGAAAAGGAAAGAAAGAAATAAGGGGGAAAGGGAAGGGAAGGGAGAAAAGAAGGAAGAAAGAAAGGAAGAGAGAGAGAAAGAAAGACAGAAGGAAAGAATTAGCTGGGCCTGGTGGTGTGCACTGCAGTGCTCTGGAGGCTGAGGCAGAAGGATTGCTTGAGCCCAGAAGTTTGAGGTTGCTGTAAGCTATAATGACGTCATGGCACTCTAGCTGGGGTGACAGAGCAAGACTCTATCTCAAAAAAAAGGAGGAGAAGGCAGCGCCTGTGGCTCAATGGGTAGGGCACCGGCCCCATATACTGAGGGTGGTGAGTTCAAACCCAGCTCCAGCCAAACTGCAACAACAACAAAACAATACCCGGCTTTTGTGGCAGGCACCTGTAGTGCCAGCTGCTCAGGAGGCTGAGACAAGAGAATTGTCTAAGCCCAGGAATTAGAGGTTGCTGTGAGCTATGATGCCATGGCACTCTACCAAGGGTGACAAAGTGAAACTCTGTCTCTAAAAAAATGAATGAATGAATTTCCCCTAGTGACTGTCTCCAGCCCTATCTTTCTAGTATCAGCTCACCCTTATCTTTCATTTGGTGTACTTCTGTCACTGGATTCTGGATGGTGATGATGGTGATAGTGATGATGACAGTGGTGGTGGTGATGGCAGCAGAGTGAGTAGAGGACTTGGCAAGTGGCGGGCCTTCTTTAGGACCAGGGTACAGAGAGAAACTAATGAAGTTCCAATGATATTCCAAATGCTGTGCTGGAAACTGGTTGATTCGGGGAGAAAAAAGCGAAACCAGGTGCCAGGAAGAGGTTGAGGAAGCTTGTGGCATGTTGAGGAGATTAACCAGCCTGGGGTCAAGAGACAAAGCCTTTCTGAGCCTCGGTTTCCTCATCAGTCAGGGAAGGGGATGCTGGACAAGTTATCTCAGATCCGTCTGGCTCCCCCCATCTTGTGTTCTATAGTCTTTGGTTCAATAAATACTGGTTGGCACTCTGAGCCTGCATTGTGCTGATTGATGGGCTCGCCTGGGCTCTGGGCACCTGACTTCCCTTCCTCATGAACCTTCTTCTGGGGTCTCCAGATCAAGTCCTCCATTGCTCCTCCTGTTTGCTCACTGGGCTGTCCTGTCCCAGCCAGTCATTTCCCTCAGATTCTGCACTCCCTGGGCCCATGGGAAAACCTTGTGCACACCTGGCTTGGGCTAAGCATAGGCATGGTCCCTATGTGGTTGCCAGGGACCAAGATTAAAACATGGCAGGTGAGTCTGACAAGGATCAGAATGGCCTATGTGCAGGCGTGACAGTGAGAAATAGAGGGACAGGCTCGGCGCCTATGGCTCAAGTGGCTAAGGTGCCAGCCACATACACCTAAGGTGGTGGGTTTGAATCCACCCCGGGCCCGCCAAACAACAATGACGGCTGCAACCTAAAAATAGCCGAGCGTTGTGGCGGGCGCCTGTGGTCCCAGCTACTTGGGAGGCGGAGGCAGGAGACTTGCTTGAGCCCAGGAGTTGGAGGTTGCTGTGAGCTGTGATGCCACAGCACTCTACCCAGGGGGAAAGCTTGAGGCTCTGTCTCAAAAAAAGAAAAAAAAAGAAAGAAAGAAATAGAGGGACAAAGAGAGATAGCAGGATGGCAAACATCCCTATCCAGTCTGTCTCCCTTTTAGACACCTGTAGAACTTCCAGAATGATCTTCTCTGTGACACTGCCCCTGCCCCAACTCATCCTCCTCAATGGGCCAGGTTGGCGCATTCAGAATAGAGATTTAATTAAGCACCTGCTTCCAATTCTTCAATGGCTCCCATTACTCTTAGAGCAAAGCCCAAAGCCTTTCTGGCATCTAAAGTAACCTGTTGCTGAAAATCAACTGTCAAGAAAGAAACAAAAATAAAGGAAGAAAGGAAGAAAGAAATGACGGACGAACCCTGTCGTAGCCCGGGGTCCACGCAGGCAGTCAGAGGCAAGCCTCCCACACGGGGCTATTTGGGAAGTGATTCTGGGAGCAGGACTGAGGGACTGGAGGAGTGACATAGGGGAAGGAGAGAAAGTCAATACAAGGATATGTTCTTGACTGGGTCGCCATGTAGGCAATTGAGTCTGCCAGGACCTTCTAAGCAGCCTTCAAGGAATGTCCTCAGAATCTTCCTCTCCAGTGAGGAGAGAGGGAAAGATTTAACCACTATCCCCCTTTCTTGCAGGCTTGCCTTGGTGGGCATTAATTCTCTGATTTACCATGTTATGGAGCATTGAGTGTTGCAGTAGGAGCCCAGAGCAGAAACAAAGGACAAGAATGTGCAAAGTAATCCCTGAAACTCTCCTAAATCACTCATAAAGTGCAGCCAGGTCTAGGAGGCCAAGGTGGGTGGATTGCCTGAGCTCACATGTTCAAGACCAGCCTGAGCAAGAGCAAGACCCCATCTCTAAAAGAATAGACATTGTTGTGGTAGGGACCTGTAGTCTCTGCTACTTAGGAGGCTGAGGCAAGAGGATCACTTGAGCCCAAGAGTCTGAGGTTGCTGTGAGCTATGACATCACAGCACTCTACCAAGGGTAAGACTCTGTCTCAAAAAATAAAAAAAAAAATGGCTCGGCGCCTGTGGCTCAAGTGGCTAAGGTGCAAGCCACATACACCTAAGGTGGAGGATTCGAATCCAGCCCAGGCCCGCCAAACAATGACAGCTGCATCCAAAAAATGGCTGGGTGTTGTGGTGGGCGCCTGTGGTCCCAGCTACTTGGGAGGCTGAGGCAGGAGACTCATTTGAGCCCAGGAGTTGG